CACATCAAAAAAGTATCCCCAAGGAAATCAAAGTGTGTTCCTTTTAAATGTTCATTGAGTTTGGGCAAGAGTGAAATTCTCATAGAACCACCTTTGCCACCATTGATAAAGGAGTCAGTACATTGCTGTGATGGGGGGGTGGAGGGGGGGGGACCCTTGATGCGACTTTCCTGGCCTCTTTCTCTCGAATGCAGTTTTCCATTTGATTGCTTTGTGTCCTCCAGGAAAAGCTACCAACATCACACTTTTGGAATCATCCCAAAATAGTTTCCACAAACTTCTGAAGTGATCTTTCTCTTTTAACTCTACCTGGTCCAGCAAATTTCCGCAGCGTCACTATGTTAAGTGAATTTTTGAAGGCACCTTAACAATTCTAAGATGAGGGAACAGGAGAAATCCTGTCTGCAGCCATGGCACAGACCTGTTGAAACAGGTTTTGTTTGGAAGAAACCAGGGCGCGTGTGCCTGGAACCCTAGTAGCAATACTTTGGACTTAGGTTTGGACAGACAACAAAACTTTCAGTACATGAGGGGAGAAAATCAAATGAAAAAACTATCAGAAAAGTACATGGATTTGTATAAGCAATATTAAGAGGAAATTAAAGAGGACTATTCCACAGGCCATTATGGTTTCAGTTATATATGTGTGTATGTTGGTTGACAGAGACCAAAAAGAAAGTCCTGGTGAGATACCGTACAAAAACCAGTCACTGAAAACCCCGCAGGGCGCCGTTCTGATACACATGGAAGAAGAATCAACATATGTCTGTGTGTGCATGTGTGTTTGTGCAGATAACAAAGACAAAAGAGGAAGAAGAATCAGTTAACCATGTGTGCATCTACTCTCTACTAAGGAAGCACTAAAACGAACAATTTGGAAATTGTTTAGAAGGTGCACAGATAAGGTTGGGAGGATCAGTGGCAACACTACTTCACTTCCTTCCAGGAAGTACGGAAGAGTGCACTGGCATTTCCACAGCCCCAAGTCTCTCATTGTCACTACGTCAGCTCTGTGCAGCTGCTTTTGTCTTTGAGTAGCTAAACGCCAGTAAAACCCCAATGGAGACCACCCAACGACAAGGCCTATAGCCTCTTCTGCGTATCGCAGACATAGAAATCATCATATTATTCAAGGAACTTGCCCTACTAGTATATTAAAATGGGACTTTTTATCATATTATTCAAGGAACTTGCCCTACTTAGTATATTAAAATGGGACTACACCTTAGGAAATGATATTCTCTCAGGTCTATGATGCCAAACATTTCTCCAATAAGTAGCTTTGACTTAGAAGTGTTAGAAGTTGATTTTTAAAAGCTGATTGAACTTTTCAAATGGTTATTATTTATATTCCCAAATGAATGTTAAATTATAAAAGTATCTATAAACATCATTTCATCTCAGTTTTCAAAATATCTGATTCTATGTTGAATTTACACTTTCTGGTACAATTCGTAAAATGCTACTGTTTAATAAACGGAGTAACCAGCCTGGCTGAAAAGGGAAAAAATACATTTAATCCTTATTACAAAAAATGCAATTACTTTCCTCTCTGTGGGTTTAATTTTAATTACCAAGTTACCTTTGGTATTTAACAAATTGCATATTGAACATGGTTAACATGCATATTGAGCCCTGGTGACATAGTGACTACACATGGGGTCTACTAACCACAGTGTCAGCAGTTCAAAACCACCAGGAGGCCTGCTGGAGACTGATGAGGCTTTGTACTCCCCATGGTTAAACACAACAAACCCCAAGCCTACTGCTACATCATCCCACAGTTCTCAGCTTCAGAAATGTCTCAACAAGGGCCACTGAGTATCTGCCCAGGAGGGCCCTTCCTTCAACAAGAAGCAAAGAAGAAAAGATCAGGTGGAGAGTCCCACACTCTCACAGCCTCCGAGTGAAGGAGCACTACACCCAGCACGTGTTCCTAAAAGCTATTTTAAATTGTGTTTCTTAGGACCCCAAAGAGTACAATAGTCTGAGAAAAAATAATTGATAAACTGCACTGTGATTCCAATTGTTTCTCATTTTAGGTTTACAATGAAAATCTTCCAATAGAGGAGGATTTCTCAAGTCTCACATACAAGAACTATGGATATTCTGGATGGAATAATTATTGGCGGAGGGAAAGGGTGTCTTTTCCATTGTAAAATGTTTCACAGTATGTAGACACAGTATGTAGACACACTAACACCTTTCCTCCCTGTAACAACCCAACTGAGTGCCACACATTGCTAACTGTTTCCTAGGGGGCAAAATCATTGCCTCAGCTGAGAACCACTGAAAGAGATCATGATCTCTACAAATTGAGAGAGGATGCCTCAGACCATCTTGAGCATGCTGTGCTGCAGCCTTGCTCTCAAGGCCCCGAAAGCCTCCTGAGTAGAACGTGCCGTGTACATTTTTATGGGCGTTCACAAAAGAATCACAAATCTTAGAGGAGGAGGAGAGAGATGATGGAAATATGGAACTGACTGTGAACTGGAACGATGACAGCTTAACTAAACTTATCCAAGCCAAGAAGGTGACTAATGACATTGAGCAGGTTAACATAAAATGTTTTTGCCGTGGAGTATAGAAATTTATAAACATAGCAGATCATTAAGAAAATGATGAATAATATATAGTACATTTTCTTTAGGGAATATCACTTATCTTTTAATTCCATTTTCCCACCAACTTTTTGAAGCCCCCTCATGGGTACATACACCGTTTAGGAACATTTCAATTTTAATTCATTTGTGAAGGTTTTAACACAACACTACATACATAGTTAAACCAAAATTCTAAACCCGTAAGTATGGCCATCAAGCGGAATTCCAAATCATGGTCACCCTTCAAGACTGAATAGAACTGTTCCATAGGCTACCCCAGACTGTAAATCTCTACAAAAGCAAACTGTCATATTCTTCCCCACAGAATGACTGGTGGGTTCGAACCACTGACCTTCTAATTACCAGGTGAACACGCAAGCATTATACCACCCAAGGCTGCTGGATACGTTGTTAAAAAAAACGAAAGCAAACCCACTGAACTTCATCTTTCTTCCACAGAGTGTTTGGTGGCTTTGAACCACTGACCTTGTGGTGATCAGCCCAATGCAATGTGACTCAAACTCAAAACTCAGTGCATTCAAGTCACAGACTAGTCACATGACTAGTGCTCATGAGATGAATGAAGGCTGGCTGTTAGTAGTAGTAGAAACACTGACATTGGTAACTTTGGTATTATTTAAGTTACATACATTGTGAACATTTTAATGCTTAGAAATTCTTCTAAAATATGTTTTTGTTTTTTTAATTGCCTAGGAAGTTCCGACTGATCTCGAAAGGCCCAGCTCACGGGTGAATTTCTCTCAGTGAGTTTCCTTAAGATTTTTTCATTTTACCACCAAAGAATTCATTTTTCCTCCATTTGTATTTCCACAACACTTAGTGCATACTTACCTCATAGTGCTTAGCACATTGTATTACAGTTATTAAAGTCTGTGTGCGGCAGGCCCACCACAGCCGTTGGCCCCCAGGCTATGAGCTTTGAGGCCTGTTTACTTGGCCATATATTCCCTGTGCTTGCCACATGCGAGGTGATCAACAAAAGCATGCTGAACTCTGCAGAATTATCTGGAAAATTCAATCATGTGGGAAACCTCATTTCCCAATAATGCCAGATATATGAGGTGTGACTGAAGAGCAATGCCTTCCATATAGAATTTGAGACTGTCAGCCTTATATGAAAAGATTAAATAAGTGACATGATGCAAAGTGTGTGGACGATATTACCAAGAAAAATAAAAGTTTGAATAAATATCAGAACATTCCTTTCAATTACACACATTTAAATACAAGTAAGATTAAATGAGAGAGGTAGGAGTTGGTTGGAATACACAGTAATTTTGAGAGTTTTAGGTCTCATTAAGGCAAATAGAGGGAAAAGAGATGACATAATGAATTAGTAATTTTTCTTTTATTTGATCCTATAACACTGTCAAAGAATTCATAAACTGGGTTATTCATAAACCAGATGAAGCCTTAAATGTAAAACTATAAAACATCAGCCTATATTACCACAAGGACCTCTAGCCCCAACAGTCTTAAGCAATACCTTCAAGGAAGGGAAACGTGTGCATGTGAGAACGTATACTCATGGCTGAAGCCACTACAGTCCTAGGTACAGTCTACACTCATGTTTTATTGTTTCTGGGTTTATAATTCAAAATAAAAAGTGAGAGGAATGCACATTTGTTGATAGAAGTTTCAAGAAGTGGTCATAGCTTAGAAATTGACTAGCGGTACGAGGGTTTTGTTTAGTTTTTCCTTATTCTTTAACTATATTTTAGTTGTTAAGAAAAGAACTTGAAACAGCAAATAATCAAAACTAAAGAGCATTTGATCTAACGTGAGATTTTCAAGTTGAAGTTACTTTTGTTTTAATTGTGGTAATATTATAGGAAAACGAAGTATTGCCACTAAATCTAATCTATGTTTTATTTTGTTTCCTCTTTTTCAAGGAACTCAAGCGAAGGTTCCAAATTATACAGAAAATGTCCCATAGTATGAGATAAATAAAAACAAGTATTTATCTTCACGAGTGAATGTGTAGGGGGCAGAGGCGAGTGGTGATAAAATGCCTGAAATAGCATAAGAAAGACTAAGAATAAATTATTTTTAAATTCTGAGATTTTCTTTCCTTCTTTCTCTCTCTTTTTTAAAAACATCAACAGCCATTCCCCCCTGCTCCCCTAGGAGAGCTTATCGTGAGGAGCCATGAGGCCATTCGGTACACAGATTGGTGTCATCAGAGGAGAGAAGGGGTGAAAAACAGAAAGATTTTCCTAGATCCATTGCCTGCTACTTCCCTAGTCACTGTAGCTAGCTCTGAGTGCGCTGCATCAAAGGGAAACAGATTTCAATCAATCACACGGGTTATCCATGGGTGCTACAACCTTTAACAATTCATTTTGCTAGGATATAGATTAGTTATAAAAGTGATACCTATTTGTGTACTCCTTGATGATCTGATATATACTAATCTTAATTGTTTCATTTTCAAATCGATTGTTGCTCCGATCCTTGTATATCCGGAATTCAGCTGCTGTTACTGCTTCTCCATGAGGAATTTGAGTAAGATCAAATCGAAATTCTTTGTAATGCCTTCGTTGGTGAGAGAAATCCTTGTCTCTTTCAACTAGGGAAAAAGCAGGGGGAAGGGAAAAAGTTAGTCTTCTATAAAATATGAAAAATAATGGTCAAGAGCTTAGAAAATAAAAACAAACAAGCAGGATATTATAACACTGAGGAAACACCCAAACCACAGGCTCATGCATGCTTCCAGCTAAAGGAAATTCCACAAACCAACAACCTTTAATTCCGAAAGAAAAATAAATAAATGAAATTTTTAAAACTGTGGTTTTATACAAATTCCAGAATCCTGAATGGAAAGGTTATCCAAAAATATTTTGAAAGTGAAGGTTGTAAAGCGATTAGTAATATGTATCACGTACCAGAACAGAGAAAGTCTCGTACGAGAGCTAGGACTATGCCGTGTGCCCAGTGAAGTCAGAGGTAAAATGTACCAAGATGCCAGAAGGAAAACAGGTTGGAGGGTTGAGGAAGTTCATGTACACACAGACTTAGTTTACAACCTTTCGAAAGTCAAATACATGCACCAAATGCATTTGCAGATGAAAGGTTATTGTCAAACTGTCTTCCTCCAAAGCTTTTATTTCTGTTCAATATTCTTTTTAAAAATGAAAATGTATTTTCATAAAATTTTATCAATGTTTAGTACAACATCCTTAGGCCTGCTGCCTGTATCCCAAAGACCCCTGCTTGTTCTGCCCTAGGAGTGAAAATGCAATGTCACTGTGTTGTTTCCCACTCATAATGACCCTAAAGGACAGGGCAGAACTGCCCTTGTGCATGTCCTCCTCCAGCACCCTTTGTGTCAAACCAAATCAGAGAACTTCTCCTTTGGGGATATTAAAAAATGTTGAGGAATTTAGAACACCGAGTACCAAGCAAATCATTATATAATTTCACCTTCTAAATCAAAGGGTTACCTGCTATAGTCTATATCCAGTGGGTACCAAAAACTTTCTTAACAAACTCTTCGTTTAACGAACTGATTGGAAAAAAAAATACAATGTAAATTGTTGGATTTTAGATCCTCAGTATTGCTTGGTTGCTCAGAATCTCTGTCATTCGGGATAGCATTACAAAAGTTCTTGGGGAAGTGCTATGGCCAGGTGTTGTAGAGTTACAGGCTACCACGATTCATTTGAAAGCATCCAGTGGCATTTATTATTTTACATAAAATGAAACAATGTCTAAATTAGTTGCCACAAAATTCAAAATCTTAATTAAAAACAGAACTGTCTATAGGATATTAATTGAACATCCCTAGACCTACATGAAACATGGGATTCTGAACGAGAAGTAAGATTTTGGAAAAGAGAAGAGGGTCCAGGAATGACTTGGGGAAACCAGGGTTACTTTACCTCCGTGGACCAGGGCCAGATGAGCATCAGTCCAGAGGAGACCATGATAATGGAAGCCACAACTTCTTTTAAATGATTATTTGGTTTCTTTTCCTGAAGAGTAGGAGATGGCATAGATGCCACCTTCATTCACCAAAGAAACCCCAGTATACAAAAACCGTAAACTACACCTGGGATTGTGATTGTCCTTTAGGATTTGACAAGGATGATACTTTCAGACTGTCAGGTTCACATGAGCACACATCACAGACCATTAGAAAGTTTCATTTCTTTATCTAGACCTCTATAAATACCCTTTGCCTCCCAGCTCTTTCCTCTATTTCCCTTGATTCTCCTCCTGTCCCACTATCAGGCTCAGTCCCCACCAGGAT